TATGGGGACATGAGCTTCATTAAGGTGAAGTTTTTGCCTCCTAATACCACTCCTCTCCTGCAGCCCATGGACCAGCAGGTTATTTCCAACTTCAAGAAACTGTACACAAAAGCTCTGTTTGAAAGGTGCTTTGTAATGACCTCAGAAACTCAACTGACTCTAAGAGAGTTTTGGAGAGATCACTTTAATATCCTCAATTGTGTAAACCTTATAGGTAAGGCTTGGGAGGAAGTGACTAAGAGGACCTTGAACTCTGCTTGGAAGAAACTGTGGCCAGAATGTGTAGACAAAAGGGATTTTGAAGGGTTTGAGGCTAACCCTGAGAATCCTGTGCCAGTTGAGGAATCCATTGTGGCATTGGGAAAGTCCTTGGGGTTGGAGGTTAGTGGGGAGGATGTGGAAGAGTTGGTGGAGGAGGACAATGAAGAACTAACCACTGATGAGCTGATAGATCAACTTCAAGAGCAAGAGGCCAGACCTGGGGAAACTGGTTCAGAGGAGGGGAGAGAGAAATTGAAGAAGTTGCCTACTACAAAGATAAAGGAAATCTGTGCAAAGTGGCTTGAAGTGCAAACCTTCATGGATGAAAATCACCCTCACACAGCTATTGCAAGCCGTGCTGGTGATTATTACACTGACAATGTTGTGAAACACTTTAGGCAAGTCATAAAGGAACGAGAGGTACAGGCCACTATGGACAGATATCTTGTGCGAAAGAAGTCCAGTGACTCTGAAGCTGGCCCTAGTGGCACTAAAAAAAGAAGGGAAGTAACCCCAGAAAAGGACTTACTACCTCAAGTCCTAATGGAAGGGGATTCCCCTTCTAAACAGTAAGAAGATAATGCTCTCCCCTCCTCCCATCCCATCAATCATCACCAGATCTTCAATAAAAGTAAGTGTCATGTAATTGTGCATGCCTTTTTCAGTTTGTGTGTATTAAAATTAACATTTCATGTGGTAAAAAAAAATTTTTTTCATACTTTTGGGCGTCTTGCACGGATTAATTTTATTTCCATTATTTCTTATGGGGAAAATTAATTCACATAACGATTATTTCGCATAACAATTATCCCTCTTGCACGGATTAAAATCGTTAACCGGGGGTCCACTGTATGTTGCTGAGACGGCTAACTTCGCGGGAGCGTAATTCTGTGAGTTTTCGACCAAATTTCGTACTTTCGGTGTCATTACCAAAGGGAAAAGATTCTCTATCATTTCATAAGAAATTTTTTTTTCCCAAAAATTTATCGACATAGACTGACAGTTTCAGAAAGGAGCTTGCGACAGTCAAAGGGTTAAGACAATGAATGCTTTGTGAGTAGACATAATCAGTGTCATTGTATAAAATTATAACTAGTCAAATACATAATGTTATGGTCTGACAAAAAAAAAAAAAAAAAAAAAAAAAAAAAAAAAAAAAAAAACATGTATGGAATGAGCAGAAACGTGTTAACTCCCTGCCAGTGTTACACAAATTAGCATAAACTTCCTTTCCACGAAAAAACAGTTTAACAATACAAAATAGATCACTTACCTTTATACCTTTGAAGAGTTTCAAGAGTTAATCTACTCTCTGAGCCCGGCCATGACTTTTATTTACTTTTAGCTTTTCTACTATCAGGACTCCCAAAATGACTGCTTAAACAGTCGAGATTTATAAAAAAAAAAAAAAAATTTTTAACAAGTCGGCCGTCTCCCACCGACGCAGGGTAACCCAAAAAGAAAGAAAATCCCCAAAAAGAAAATACTTTCATCATCATTCAACTCTTTCACCTCACTCACACATAATCACTGTTTTTGCAGAGGTGCTCAGAACACAACAGCTTAGAAGCATATACGTATAAAGATACACAACATATCCCTCCAAACTGCCAATATCCCGAACCCCTCCTTTAGAATGCAGGCATTGTACTTCCCATTTCCAGGACTCCAGTCCGGCTATATAAAAATAACCGGTTTCCCTGAATCCTTTCACTAAATATTACCCTTCTCACACTCCAACAGATCGTCAGGTCCCAAATACCATTCATCTCCATTCACTCCTATCGAACACGCTCATGCACGCCTGCTGGAAGTCCAAGCCCCTCGCCCACAAAACCTCCTTTAGCCCTTCCTTTCAACCTTTTCGAGGACGACCCCTACCCCACCTTCCTTTCCCTACAGATTTAAATGCTCTCCATGTCATTCTACTTTGATCCATTCTCTCTAAATGACCAAACCACCTCAACAACCCCTCTTCAGCCCTCTAATACTTTTATTAATTCCACATCTTCTCCTAATTTCCACACTCCGAATTTTCTGCATAATATTTACACCACACACTGACCTTAGACAGGACATCTCCACTGCCTCCAACCACCTCCTTGCTGCTGCATTCACAACCCAAACTTCACACCCATATAAGAGTGTTGGTACCACTATACTTTCATACATTCCCTTCTTTGCCTCCATAGATAATGTTTTTTTGTCTCCACATATACCTCAATGCACAACTCACCTTTTTTCCCTCATCAATTCTATGATTAACCTCATCCTTCATAAATCCATCCGCCAACACGTCAACTCCCAAGTATCTGAAAACATTCACTTATTCCATACTCCTTCTCCCCAATTTGATATCCTATTTTTCTTTCTCTAAATCATTTGATACCCTCATCACCTTACTCTTTTCTATGTTCACTTTCAACTTTCTACCTTTACACACATTCCCAAACTCGTCCACTAACCTTCGCAATTTTTCTTTAGAATCTCCCATAAGCACAGTATCATCAGCAAATAGCAACTGTGTCAATTCCCATTTTGTATTTGATTCCCCATAATTTAATCCCACCCCTCTCCCGAACACCCTAGCATTTACTTCTTTTACAACCCCATCTATAAATATATTAAACCACTATGGTGACATTACACATCCCTGTCTAAGACCTGCTTTTACTGGGAAGTAGTCTCCCTCTCTTCTACACACCCTAACCTGAGCCTCGCTATCCTCATAAAAACTCTTTACAGCATTTAGTAACTTACCACCTATTCCATATACTTGCAACATCTGCCACATTGCTCCCCTATCCACTCTATCATATGCCTTTTCTAAATCCATAAATGCAATAAAAACTTCCCTACCTTTATCTAAATACTGTTCACATATATGCTTCAATGTAAACACTTGATCTACACATCCCCTACCCACTCTAAAACCTCCTTGCTCATCCACAATCCTACATTCTGTCTTACCTCTAATTCATTCAATTATAACCCTACTGTATACTTTTCCTGGTATACTCAGTAAACTTATTCCTCTATAATTTTTACAATCTCTTTTGTCCCCCTTCCCCTTATATAAAGGGACTATACATGCTCTCTGCCAATCCCTAGGTACCTTCCCCTCTTTCATACATTGACTAAACAAAAATACCAACCACTCCAACACTATATCCCCCCCTGCTTTTAACATTTCTGTCATGGTCCCGTCAGTTCCAGCTGCTTTACCCTCTTTCATTCTACGTAATGTCTCACGCACCTCCCCCATACTCACATCCTGTTCTTCTTCACTCCTAAAAGATGGTATACCTCCCTGGCCAGTGCATGAAATTACCGCCTCTTTCTTCGTCGACATTTAAAAGTTCCTCAAAATATTCTCGCCATCTACCCAAAACCTCCATCTCCCCATCTACTAACTCCCCTACTCTGTTTTTAACTGACAAATCCATTTGTTCCCTAGGCTTTCTTAACTTGTTTAACTCACTCCAAAAATTTTTCTATTTTCATTAAAATTTCTTTACAGTGCCTCTCCTACTCTATCATCTGCTCTCCTTTTGCACTCTCCATATACTCTGCTCTTCTTATAACACTTCTGCTTTGTAAAAACCTCTCATAAGCTAACTTTTTCTCTTTTATCACACCCTTTACTTCATCATTCCACCAATCACTCCTCTTTCCTCCTGCACCCACCCTCCTATAACCACAAACTTCTGCCCCACATTCTAATACTGCATTCTAAAACTATTCCAACCCTCTTCAACCCCCCCCCCCCCCCACTACTCATACTTGCACCAGTCTACCTTTCTGCCAATAGTTGCTTATATCTCACCCGAACTTCCTCTTCCCTTAGTTTATACTTTCACCTCCTGAAATTGTAGAGAATCTTTTCTGAAGATAATGACACCAAAATATTAAATTTGGTAGAAAACCTATGGGAATACACAGGTGCATATTTGCTGGTCACGGTGTAATTTAAACAGTGGCAATTTCACCTACTTTACGTCCTATTTTAAGCAAATTTCATTGCTCAATTCGACTAAATTCTTAGCTGTTTCACTAACATGACTTTTATCAGATCTGCTTCAATTATTCTGATGACATAAATCACAACCAATCATTCTTGGTTATATTTTAATATTCGTGAAACAAAGTAAAACTTTTTGTTTTTTAGTGATGGACTCAACATGGAAGGCAAGTGATATATAGGAGAGCTCTTAGGATGTGATTAATGAACAGAGAAAAGGTTGCTTTAGTGGCTGGAATGCCTACAATGTTTATTTTGGACTCTCCAATTTTGTGTAAATTAGGCCAAACTACCAACTTATGCAATTTTTATAAGAGGGATGTGAATGTTGCAGTTCCGTGGGGCATCTGAACTGTCTTACCAGCGAGTTTCTAGCAACACAGCGACTGAATGAATGATGGTATTTTTTTTTGTGGGGGGAGGGGGGGGACTTTACCTAGGTGGAAGATAGCTGAAGTGTTAAGAAAAAGCAATTTACATCTTTACCAATGTACTTAACATTATTATTATTTTAAGGTGATAAACTCATAAGTGTTTTACAGCACCTGAAAAATGGGAGGCAATGAGGTTTGATCCAAGGAAGGGGAGAACCAGTACAGTTCAGTGGAACAATAACTTCTCATCATATGACAAACATGAAAATATAAATTTTACAAAGAGCAATAACTGGGGCATCTTACTCACCTCTGACTTCTTTTTGTCTATTATAATTACTTACTTTAAAACCTTCTTGGCAAAATCTTCCTTTTGTTGCGCAGTAACACGTGGTAACAAGAAAGTTTCATCAGCTTGTACAGTCTTGAAAGTGCGAGCAAGATCATCTCCATACATTTTGCATAGTGCACTTAAAACATCACTGAAGCTACTCAGGCTATGGCGGGGTGAATTACCTTAAGAGAAAACAAATACTGTATATAGAACTAATGAATTTAGTAAATTTATAATGGTATTTCAACATTTTATTGAACAGTAAAATAAAAATTATTTGGCAAGCCAATATTAAAAAGTTTTTACAAAATACACATACATATACAAAACATGAGCGTTCTGACGAGAGTTTCTGTATTGTGAGCTACAACTGGCTGCAGACATCCTCCTGCTGGGTCTCTGCTAAAATTGATAAAGCCAGCTAAGAAATGACCTGCACTTCGAACTGTTCCTTCTTCAGGTAATTTGAGGGCTTCTACACCTGTCAACAAGAAGTCAGGAATGTAAATTACAATAAGATACATCTTAAAGCTTCCTGATTGTATAAACAAAATCACAAGAAATAAAATATACTACAAATGTCTCCAAGCCCATCAATGATGGACAAGTAGTACATCAAGATATTCTTAACCACAATTACGAGCTAGTTTGAAGATAAACTGAAAACTTACCGAGATGGAATAATGGTGCTAAATGGTTATGGTTAGCCGTTGTTAGATGAGGAGTTTTCTTGAATGTAGCAGTAAGAAGCGTAAGACAACCATGGACAGCATCAGTATGGTTCCACAAATCTGCTGAAGCTCTACTCAAGGTTGTCGAAGTGACCATTCGTAACAAAACTCCCATGTTTGCTTCTTGGCTGCCTTCTCGCCCAAACAGTATAACAAGCTGGGCAAACACATGATCAAAATACATCATTATTCAAGGTTATAACATATGCAGGCTTTATGCTTTTGACTCAGTCATGCAAATTACACATTAACAAAAATAGAGGGTTGAATTAATCACTCCTTCATACAGCCCTCTAATCACATTTCCTAATTTTCTTCCTTCCTAACTACACATGATGGACAACCACCTTACATGTAGGTTACATTCCTGAAAAATGTACCTATATTTGAAAGCACAACTGGTGAAGAACTTGCTGGAAAAGTTGGGCCTATGTTCAAGTACATAAATAACCCGCACATAGGAAAGAGGAGTTTATGACAACACACACAAATAACCCGCACATAAAAGAGAGAAGCTTACGGCGACGTTTCGGTCCGACCTGGACCATTTACAAAGTCACAATAACCAGAAGTGGAGCAGGACGGCTATATATAGGCAGGAAGAGGCGGCAGCAGTGGCAGCAGCAGCAGTACATGAATGGTATATAATACCGACAAGATGAAATTAAGACACCGGGCACCTCTATCGTAGACGTTTCACACAAAGACGTCCACAACAAAGACACCCAGACGCCGCACATGTGTCTCGGCGGCGGCAGCGGCGGCGGCGGCGGCGGCGGCGGCGGCGGCGGCGGCAGCGGCGGCGGCAGCGGCAGCGGCAGCGGCAGCGGCAGCGGCACGGCAGCGGCAGCGGCAGCAGCAGCAGCAGCAGCAGCAGCAGCAGCAGCAGCAGCAGAAGTGGGGAATAAAGAGGACGAGTCAGTCAAATACAAAGGAAGGGGAGCACTGCAAGGGAGCTAGGCGCCCACAGAGGGAGAGCAAGTGCACAGAGGTGCGTGAAAGGGGAAGTGGTGTAATAAATGAAGAAGGAACAGAAACACGAGACAGAAGAGAGAAAGACAACCCAGAGGAGAAAAAGGAAAGAGGAAAGGGGAAGAGGGAGAAGAAGAAAAAGAAAAAGAAAAAATCAGGAGTCAGGTTAAGTCATGGGTGTTCTGAAGTTTGGAGCATTTTACAATGGAGTGGGAGAGGAAGGCATCTACAGAGACGAAGCCAGGGCTAAGATTCATACAAGGAAAGTTGTGTATTAGAGAGGATTCAACTAGACTGCGACTGTTCGAGTTGGAAGTAGGGAAGACAGTTTTAGCAGAAGACCAGTCAATAAGATGGCTATGATCTCTGACGTGACAGAAAAGAGCATTGTTAGTGTCGGCAAGCCTAACACTATTTTTGTGCTCCCTAAGTCTGTCAGAAAGAGATCGACCAGTTTCTCTGAAGTATTGAAGAGGACAGGAGGAGCAAGAAATAGAGCAGACACCAGGAACATCTGTAGAGGGAGGAGATTAGTGCGAAGAGTGTTAGTCTGGCGGAAGGTAAGCTTGATGTTTAAGGGACGGAGAGAATTGTTGAGATTAGAAAGACCGGAAATGTAGGGAAGGCAGAGGATAGAAGAGTTCCCAGGAGTAGAGAGTTTGGGAGAGAAGAAATTACATTTAGCACGTGAGAGGGCAGAGTCTATGAAATGGGAAGGGTAGCCAAGACGGGAAAACGAATTATGAAGAGTGGAAATTTCTGCTGGAAGGAACTGAGGATCACAGATGCGGAGGGCATGGAGAAAGAGGGAAATAAGAACACTTTTCTTGACAGGGGAAGCATGATAGGAAAAGTAGTGAATGTACATGCCACTGTGCATAGGTTTTCGGTAAACGTTAAAGGAAAAACCTGTATCTGAGCGGTGGACATGGACATCAAGGAAAGGAAGCAAGGAATTAGATTCCCATTCAGCTTTAAACTTAATGGAAGGGGCAAGATTATTAAGAGCTTCAAGAAAAGGTTGGGAGAGACTGGAGTCATGAGGCCACAGAGCAAAGATGTCATCCACATAGCGGAGCCAGAGTGAAGGTTGCACATCGAGGGTAGGAAGAAGAACAGTCTCGAAGTATTCCATGTAAAGATTAGCATCTGTGATCCTCAGTTCCTTCCAGCAGAAATTGGCCTATTTTCGGCCAATTCCAATGTACTATTCGACAAAAATCATAACTATTTCGCTAGAACTCCATTTTTTCTATTGAATGAGTACAAGAAACCACCAATTTACAGATTTCAACTATCCAATACAGTGGTCAGAATTTAGCAATTTTGTCAATTTCACACAAATTTCAAAAGATGCCAATTTCCAAATAGGGTCCAGAATAAACAAGACATTCCTGGCACTAAAATAACATTTCCTCTGTTCATTAGTCACGTCCCCAGGCCCCTCTTACATTTTTTTTGCTTTCCACTTTGAATTTTTGTTCTCACACAAAAAATAAGATTTACTGTTATGCAGACTACTGCATTAGTGTAGAAATGGTATAAATAATATCAGCGCACTTGTGAAAGAATATTAGACTCACCAGTTGATGTGTATTGGACGCTTAGCATGATTTGTTTACTTTTGAACTTTGGTAAAAATTGAACATTTCTGCTACTTTGAGCTCAATTTCAAGGTACTTTTCATTGTAAAACCAATCAAAATCATCTTAATTTCTGTAATATGTCTTCCATTCTATACAATGAGACCAGGAAACCTAGAATACAGCAATAAATACCATACAAAGTCTCTGTTTTAATCCCAAAATGTGGTCGAAGTTTCTTTTTTCTCATTACATACTGTGTGCTGCAGGATTTTTTTTATACTGCGCACACTGACCACATAGACCCATTCTTTCATATGTAGGCCTACCAGCTTTCTCTCACTAGATTTGAAGGCGCTAGAATTTATGCGTACTACTACGTCATGGACACTGGTGCGTAAGCCGTACTAGTATGTCCGAAACCCTGAAAGGGTTAAAAATGTTGGTAAGGCCAATTTTTCCATAAGATCCCATTTGAGAAGTGTCTAGGACAATAATTTTCCCTATGCAATTGGAGTTTTTACATTAAGCAAGCCTAATTTTCTCATAAGAGCCCATTTAACAATTTGCCATACAGACCAGGATGATAACATAATGCAACACAACAACTTAGATAAGCATTATAAATATTGTAGAAGTGGCTTGGCACATGACACTTAAACACTCATCACAAGGCCTAACACATACTCTGCCACCATAGCTTAGTCTGACTGCACCAGTCTGCTCTCACGAAGCCTATCTTTCCTCCATTGGTTTAACTTCTTAAATGAATGGCATCTTAGATAGAGTATTTATTCCAGAAAAGGAGCTTCATTAAGAAAGGAATGCAAGAGGCATAACTAAGCAAAAATTAGTAGGAATTATAAACAAGTGATTCACTGAGTTGTTCATAACAACCAGTCTGAAGAAATAAATTGTGTGATATGCTAAGCCTGTGCGAGTCAATCATAAACCCGTGAGGAACAATCATAAACCTGTGAGGGTCAATGATCAGCATGTGTGGATCAATCAACTCAAGGACTCTGGGCTCAATCCTCCATATACTGATTGTGAGACTATTACATTACCTGATTTAACAGTAAAACCTCAATTTAAATTACCCTGATTTAATTAATTTTGGATTTAATGAACAAAATCCGAAAACAATGGATGAAGTTCAGTGTCTCGAGAACTGTCTGTTGCTGTTACCATCCATTGGGATAATTGATTTTGGACAAGGGTCTTCCAAAATTGTCTGATATTGTTACAATCCCAGGACAATAATCTCATAAACCTGTGAGGGTCAATGATCAGCATGTGTGGATCAATCAACTCAAGGACTCTGGGCTCAATCCTCCATATACTGATTGTGAGACTATTACATTACCTGATTTAACAGTAAAACCTCAATTTAAATTACCCTGATTTAATTAATTTTGGATTTAATGGACAAAATCTGAAAACAATGGATGAAGTTCAGTGTCTCGAGAACTGTCTGTTGCTGTTACCATCCATTGGGATAATTGATTTTGGACAAGGGTCTTCCAAAATTGTCTGATATTGTTACAATCCCAGGACAATAATCTCATTATTTGGATTTAATGGACAAATGACATTACTGGACATCCTCTTCTCTATTAGTCTGTTAAATCAAAGTTCACTGTTCTCACCGAACTCTTCATGAGTTGACAGTAACAAAAAATATTATTAAATAACAATGTAGAAATATTATAGCACAACAGTCAGTATAATGACACCAACATAAGCCATACAACAATATGACTTAAACACTTTCAAAATAATGTGACGAATTAATCTGTACACAAAAGGTAATATTAATGAATTCAGATTAGCACCTCAGTATGCCCTGCTATTAAAACATTTTGGCCTGATTATTTTTTTTGCAATACACAAAAATAATTTGCTTACCTGTTTAACTAAATCTAATATTGCTGGGTTGAGGGATGCTTCATAAAGCTGAGGTATAATTTCTAGGATTGCTGGTAAGATGGCTACACAATCATCTACCAGAGTGCTAATGCTGTTTTTTAGAAGTTTACAGAGAGCCTGAAAATAAACAATGTTTTAAAAATGTTAAAAACACGACCTAACCTCACCATATTTGCCCCTAATAACTCGAAACCTTAGAGTCAAAATCCCACATGTGCAACACAAGTAAAATAAATCGAACCAAATTAATTTTTTACCCAATACTTTCCGTCCATAACCTTCTATATTTTTGTCCATTAATAAGTAAAATTCAAAAGACTATTAATGTAGCACTTTGAAAATTAAGTACATACTGTAGTTACTGAACTTGAAATCCTAACACTGGATCCCACAAACTCTGATTGCAAAATCACTATTGTACAGCAGCAGTTACTGAGTAAATTAAAGTGAAAATTATACTATTACAGAGAATACTGTGAAATTATGACAACAGTTGACAAGAAGTGATGAAAAGACGAAGGTTCTTCTGGCTTTCTTATTTCTTCTTTTTTTTTGTTTATAGGGCACAGATCATTGTTGATGCTTTAACCCTTTGACTGTCGCAACCCCCAATCCTGAGGTGTCTCCTGGTGTCGCAAAATTTAAAAAAAAAAAAAAATAATTTTTTTTTTCCTTATGAAATGATAGAGAATCTTTTCCTGATTGTAATGACACCAAAAAAAAAATTGATGGAAAACTGACGGAATTACGCTATCAAGAAGTCAGCGACCTCAGAGATATTTACAAATCGGTGATTTCGCCCACTTTGAGCCCTATTTTTGGCTAATTCCATTGTTCCAGTCAACCAAACTCATAGCTATTTCTTTAGAACTCTGTTTTTTCTATCGACTGAGTACAAGAAACTGCCCATTTACTGATTTCAACTACCCAATAACGTGGTCAGAACTTTGCAATTTGGCCAATTTCACGAAAATTAAAAAATGTGACAATTTCAAAATAAGGTCCAGAATGAACAATGCAGACATTCCTGGCTCTAAAATAACATTTTTTTGGTTAATCAGTCATGTGTCCAGGCCCCTCTGATATTACTCTTGCTTTCTACTTTGAATTTTTATTCAAACAAAAAATAGAAGATTTACTGTTATGCAGACTACTGCAATACTGTAATAATTGTATAAATAACATCAACCCATTCATGACTGCATATTAGTATGGCTAGTTGGACATTTATTGAACAATGACATCATTTGTTTACTTTTGAACATCGGCAAAAATCAAACATTTCCCCTACTTTGAGCTCCATTTCTAGGTTGTTTTTATAGTAAAATCAATCAAAATCACCTCTTTTTCCATAATATGTTTTCCATTCTATCAAATGAGACCAAGAAAACGAGAATACAATCATAAATACAAAAATAGACCACAAAGTTGGCATTTTAATTAAAAACAACGGTTGGAGTTTTTTTTTTCTCATTATGCACTGTGTGCTCCAGGACTTTTTTTATATGGTGCACACTGACCACACAGACCCATTTTCTCACATGTGGGCCTACCAGGTTTCTCCTGCTTGATTTGAAGCCGCTAGAATTTATGTGTATATATACGTCAAACACGGTACCTCGTAAGACGTATATATACGACCGCGACAGTCAAAGGGTTAAATTTGGTACGACTGTACGCACAGTCTGCTCCCTTATGTTTATTTATAGAAATGACAGGTGATGGCAGGTTATATTTGTTGCTGAGAAAAGGAGACGATTATGATAGTCACCAGCATGGTGAAACCAATGATGAAGTGGATCTCTTTCAAAGGACATGTATAATATACAAAGCACTAGAGCTGTTTGGATAGTCAGCACTTTTTAACTTAAAAAGCTACTAACATCATTTTTAAGTCACTGCCACTGTAACTAATTTTCCGCTATTTTAAAATTATCCCATCATTACTAATGTGTAATATCAATGTCATTTTGCTATAATTCTGTCATATTACCAATATTATAATCACAATGTAATTAATTTAAAAATTTCTTAGTCCATTAGTTGCAATACAACCCATATCCATAATTAATTTAAAGTCACAGGCTACAAGTCACAAATTTTGATGAAAAAAGAAATCGCTTCTCTACTAAAGTTGAAAACTGGGTTAATGTGTTTTTAATGATGAACTCAAGCTGCTCAAATCCTGCTACAATAGTAAGGTGACTTAGCATATGAATGTGACTTAACATAATATTAAAGCTAACCTCTATGACTTCCTGGTCTGTTGTGGCTTTGGATGCAATATCAGACAAGAGAGGCATCAGCTGTTGCAAGACCAACAACAATGGCTGGGGAGCTCCACTCACTACCTGAAAAATTCACACAAGACATTGTTCAGTCAAGCGAAATATTTACCAATTACAGCATACCTTGTACACAGATATTCTTAAAAAAAAAAAAAATCCTTATCCTTTTTAGCACTGGTTTTAGAGGAATAATATAAAGTTCCTACATCTATTTCGCATCATAAGAGCCAACCGCCTCAGCTGACCAAGACCAGGCCACAATTGGCAGGCAAAGGATCAAACCTCTTAACATTCTGTGCTGAATGACCCACAAGAATTTGGTGCTTCATGAAATACAACAAATATACATCTTAAGAAATATTATCATATTTCAGCTCATTTCACAGAGGATTATAAATTAATGATATTAAGTAACATTCTGTTCACATATGGTTCAATGCAATGCTGAAGCCATCTGCATGCCAAAACTTTCTATTAATCAGTTAAGTGGGTTTTTTTAACCCTTAAACGGTCCAAATAGATCGATGTTCAAATCCGTAGTGCTCCAAAAGTAGATCTATGTTTTTTTACATATTTTCAAATATAACAAAAAAAAAAAAAATGTAGATAAAAGTTGTTTTACACATTTTCAAATGTAAAAAAAAATGATGATGATGTACATTTTTTACACACTTTCAAATGTCGAAAAAACGTATACATGTATATACGTTTGGACCATTTAAGGGTTAATGGTTTTATTTTGAGAATATGTTAAAATTCAAGTTAGTAGAGGCATATACAATTGTGTATGACTATGTCCTTGAGGAAATCACAGCCAAAATAAAGCTGCTGATGGCTATGTGAGAGATATTTAGAACGTGCTAGAGTATATTGGAAAGGAGTGAATGGAGATGAATGGTTTTTGGGACCTGACAAGCTGTTGGAATGTGAGCAGGGTAATATTTTGTGAAGGGATTCAGGGAAACTGGTTAGCCGGACTTGAGTCCTGGAGGTGGCAAGTACAGTGCCTGCACTTTATTAAAGGAAGGGTTTGAGATATTGGCTGTTTGGAGTGACATCTAAACTGTTGTATCTTGGTGCTTATGCAAAGACAGTGATTATGTGTGAGTGATGGTAAAAGTGTTGAATGATGGTGAAAGTGTTGAATGATGGCAAGAGTGTTTCTTTTTTTTGATCACCCTCCCTCAGTGGAAAGACGGCTAGTGTTTAAAAAAAAAAAAATGCACGTGCATAACGGTAGGACCAATACAATGTCTCCACTGTAGATTTTGCAGGCATGATAGGCTGAACCAAGCCAAGGGCACAAGATGAGTCACCTGCATTTAGCTGTTTGTCTAAAGTTGAAGATGTTAAGGCATGCCATGGTACAGTTTTACAGCTACTTTTGTCAAGCAAAACTTGAAGGTGCATTAATGCTATAAATTTCTTGGTTGCCTTATTTGCAGCTTTAGCAACAGCTCTTTACAGTCATTGCTGTATTAAAATTTTACCCTCAGGATATCAATATGTAAGTGTGTCCATCTTTTCACTCTCATTTTTCCTTCAACAGTTATTTCAGCTGCTTGGATCATCAAATCTCTGGTTTCCTTTAAGCAAGTATAACTTTGCATCACATACAAGAGTATAGCTAAAAGTTTTTGACGATGTTCTGTACTCAGTGAATGGAAAATTTCCTTTTGCAAAGTAAATGTAGAATCATATTTTACTTCCCTCCAAAAAAATTCCAATACCCCAACTAATTTTGAATGTCACTGTTGTTTTCAATGCTTTTACTTCATAGTCTTAATTGGTTTAATATCAAGGAATCTCTCCTTTTTTTACTTCCTCCATTCATTGTTCTATCTTATTTTAATTGAAATAACCATGCTTGTCCTCAGTTTTTCTACCTCACTTTAAAAATCTCTACCCTCCATTTTTTTTTAAAATTCTTTTATAGCCCACCTTATTGAAAACTTTTTATTATTGCCCAATTGTTATTTTATATTTTAGTGCCCAACTTTATTGTAAACTTTTCATCTTATTATTGCACTATTTCTAGTCTTGAGTTAATAACCCAATCTTAATACTTTGGCCCAATTTTACCAATCCCTTATTGCCCAATCTATTTTAAGCTTTTTATTATTGCCCTTATTATTTGTAAAGTTTTACCCAATTTTAATATATACTTTTTTTAATTGCCCTTCTATTGTTAAAATTTTATCACCCACTTTATTTACTTTTTTTTAAACCTTTGTTCCAATTTTTAAGCTTGTATATTCAAACTCCAACTTAATAATATCATGTGTACCCTTCCCATCATATTATAACCAAGTCATTGCCATTTTTATTTTTTTTACTTTCTTTTGCTACCTCAACTTGTGTATTTTGTCTTGTCAAATTAAATTTAGTTATACTCTAGTTCTTGTTAACAACTTTTATTAGACCTTAGTGCAATTACAAGTGAGAGTCTTATGCCATTTTAAACTAGTATTTTTTATATATTAGATTAAACCTAGTTGTACTTTAGCTCATTCTAGCTCAAAATATAGACAACACCAAATTCATTATATTAGACCTTAGTGCAATTACAAATGAGAGTCTGGTGCTATTTTTTATTTGTATTTTTATATTTTTAGTTTATACTGAGTTGTACTTTACCTCATTCTAGCACAACACATAGACAATATCAACTTCATTATGTTTATTAGTGACTATACTCTATATGACCAAAGTGCTTTAGCTATATACTTGTCCAAACTCCCCACTACTACAGATATCAGTATTAGAACTCACAATACAGGATATAAATAACCACTATTTAAACCTAGAAGATGATCACGTCGACCCTGATATAAACCTCCACAACATAACACCCAATCAAAATCTACTGGAAAGTAACTGCTTTTATTACACAGCATCACAAGCCAGCACTATCCTAAACAGTGCTAAAAGTCTATCAGTTCTTAACTACAACATCAGGTCCTTAAGCAAACACTATGATGGCCCCCCTGGGACTCCTTGATCACTAAAGACAAACCCCTTTTCCTGCATTATTCTTACTGAGACCTGGCTTAAAACAGGACACAATAGATATCTACCCACTACCAGGTTACACAGCAATCCACAACTGCAGACCATACCAAGTTGGGGTGGTATTGCAATCTATTACTCCAACCAACTATCTTGTATTAGCACCACTTGCTTTTGTGATGAAAAGGGGAATGCATTTTTGCTAATTTATTGTAAAAAACCTTAAGACGCCTAAAACAATCGGTGCCATTTACCGGATACCCCACACAAACTCTCAAATTTCAGTGAGAAAATTTAAAAGGGACTAATAACAAAAAGACAAATGAACAAGCAACACCTTCTCTTAGCTGGAGACTTCAAATATCACCTTGGCCTACTAGATGATCAGCCTTTAACTGATTTCATCAAAAATATGAAAACACACTTTTATACCAAAAATAACTAAACCAACCAGGCTCACTGAGACAAGTGCAACCATAATAAACCACATATGGACCAATATACTATCCCCCCTTAAATCAGGGGTAATCACAGACAGCACTACAGACCACTACCCAACCTTCCTCTTAACAAACATTAGTAAACCACCACTGGAATACAACAAAGTTTCATTTAGACTCCATGACGAGGCCTCAATTTGGGAAATTCACAGCAACCTAGAGACTGTTGACTGGCCTACAGAATTCTCCAAGGCCCAAAGGTATTGACGATTGGACAGACATTTTTTTTAACAAAATTTCTTAGACTATACAACAAACATTGTCCTATAAAAATGAAACAGATACAGAATAAACAGCTCGGTTGCCCATGGCTAACCAGCAGCATTCTGAAATCCATTTATAAGAAACACCAATATGAAAAGCAAAATAGACAGGGCTTAATACACAAAGATATTCTTAAACATATTCATCAGTTCTCACCAAGGAATAAAGAAAGCCAAACAACTGTACTACTCCAGGGAGATTCACTGACACAAGAGGAGATATAAAAAAGACCTGGAAAACACTCTTTCAGATTCTGGGCACCCACAAACTGAAAAAAAAAACAAGAATATTGTCCTAACTAAACCTAAAAGAAACACCACTGCATCCACTGAAACAGCTAACAAGAAAAAACGACTTCTCAACCATAGATGGGAATTTTCCCAAACCCTAGATGGAATTTCCCCAATTCCTTTACCTTGTACCAACGAGCCCACCAAAATCACTGAGATTATAAAGTCACCCTTAAAAATAAAATCAGGAACCTGTCTCATGTTCCCACCCTTATTGTGCAAGTGAGCGGCCCATGTCCTTTCGCATGCTATTTCATTACTTTTAACAAATCACTAGAAAATAGCACCTTCCCAAAACTACTCAAGACAGCAAGAAATTACACCAATACATAAAGGTGGTGACCCTACAGATGTAAACAAACTATAGGCCATATGAAACTTACCATTGCTATCCAAAAAACTTTTGAGAAACTCGTGCAAGGAGACTGTAATTATTTATAACGGCACAAAACACACTCAACCCTGCCAATTTGGTTTCGGAAAAATAAAAGCACTAATGATGCAATTGTAAAAATGCTAGATCTGCTTTACACAGCATTGGAAAATACGGAATATCCACTAGGAATTTTTGACCTAAGAAAAGCTTTTGACAAAAGTAGACCACGGCATCCTACTCCACAAACTTTACCAATATGGTATAAGAGGCCATGCGCTTGCATTTTTTTCAAATCCTAACCTTACTGATAGGTATCGTATGTCACCATTAAAGACACAGCATCATCAACACGGCCACTTGATACTGGAGTTCCACAGGGAAGTGTCCTTGGGCTCCTGCTCTTCCTCATTTACATCAATGGGTCATCCAAAAAATATCCCAACACCTAAAGCCCATTTCTTTGCTGACGACATACTTATGTCATCTCTCACCCTAATCTTGCCACCCTCAACACCATTGTTAATGAGGAGCTGCTCAAAATATCAACTTGGATGACAGCCAATAAACTTACACTTAACACTGACAAAGCCTACTAGTAATATTTTGCTTGGTAGCAGAGCAGGT